TCAGGATAATGTTGGCTTCGTAGAAGGAGTTAGGAAGCCTCCCCTCCTCTTCAATTTTTTGGAAGAGTTTGAGAAGGATAGGTATTAAATCTTCTTTGAATGTTTGGTAGAATTCTCCAGGGAAGCCATCTGGTCCTGGACTTTTATTTTGGGGGAAGTTTTTCATTACTGTTTTGATATCCTTACTGGTGATTGGTCTATTCAAATTCCCTATTTCTTCTTGATTCAGTTTTGGAAGGTTGTATGATTCTAAGAATATATCCATTTCTTCTAGATTATCGAATTTGTTGGCATATTGCTTTTTGTAGTTCTCTTATAATCTTTTGTACTTCTAAGGTGTCTGTTGTAATTTCTCCTCTTTCATTTCTGATTGTATTTATTTGAGCCTTCTTTCTATTTTTCTTAGTGAGTCTAGCTAGAGGTTTGTCAATTTTGTTTATCTTTTCAAAGAACCAGCTCTTGTTTTCGTTGATTTCTTCTATTGCTTTTTCAGTCTCTATTTCATTTATTTCTGCTCTGATTTTTATTATTTCCTTCCTTCTACTGATTTAGGGCTTTATTTGTTCTTCATTTTCCAGTTCCTTTAGATGCATTGTGAGATTGTTTATTTCACATTTTTCTTGTTTGTTGAGGTAGGCTGTGTTGCTATAAACTTCCCTCTTAGAACTGCTTTTGCTGTATCCCATAAATTTTGGCATGTCGTATTTTCATTTTCATTTGTCTCCAGGTATTTTTTATTTCTCCTTTGACTTCTTCATTGACCCAGTCATTGTTCAGAGCATTTTGTTTAATCCCCACATATTTGTGGCTTGTCTGATTTTCTTCCTTTAGTTGATTTCTAGTTTCACACTGTTGTGGTCAGAAAAGACGATTGGTATTATTTCAATCTTAAATTTATTGAGAATTGATTTGTGGCCTAATATGTGATCAATCCTGGAGAATGTTCCATGTGCATTTGAAAAGAATATGTATTCTGCAGTTTTTGGATGGAGTGCTCTGTATATATCTACTGTGCCCACCTAGTCTAATGTGTCATTTAAGGCCAAGCTTTCCTTATTGATCTCCTGTTTGGATGATCTATCCATTGGTGTAAGTGGAGTGTTAAAGTCCCCTACTATTATTGTGTTGCTGTCTATTTCTCCTTTTATGTCTGTTAATAATTGCTTTATATATTTAGGTGCTCCTATGTTGCATGCATAGATATTTACAAGTGTTATATGCTCTTGTTGGATTGTTCCCTTTATCATTATGTAGTGTCTTTGTCTCTTATTATAGTTTTTGTTAAAGTCTATTTTGTCTGATATAAATATTGCTACCCCAGCTTTCTTTTCTTTGCCATTTTCATGAAGTGTCTTTTTCCATCCCTTCACTTTCAGTTTGTGAGTGTCTTTAGGTCTGAAGTATGTCTCTTGTATGCAGCATATACATAGGTCTTATTTTTTTATCCAATCAGCCACCTTATGCCTTTTGATTAGAGCATTTAGTCCATTGACATTTAAAGTAGCTATTGATAAGTATGTACTTATTGCCATTTTGTTACTTTTTTATGGGTGTTTTAGTAGTTCTTCTCTGTTTCTTTATTCTTCTCTTGCTCTCTTCCCCTGTGGTTTTACGGCTTTCTTTAGTATTGTGTTTGGGCTCCTTTCCCTTAATTTTTTGTGTATTTATTATAGCTTTCTGGTTTGTGATTATCATGAGATTCATATATAATAACCTACTTATATAGCAATCTATATTAAGTTGATGGTCTCTTTAGTTTGACCTCTTGCTAAAAGCTCTACTCTTTTACTCCCCTCCTCCATATTTTATGTTTTTGATATCACATCTAACCTCTTTGTTTGTGTCTGTGTATCCATTACCCTCTTATCATGGAAACAGGTAATTATAATACTTTTGTCTTTTGACCTTCATATTATCTTCATAGGTGATTGATCTGCTACCTTAACTGTATTTTTGTCTTTACAAGTGATTTTACTGCTCTTTTTTTTTTTTTTTTTTTGATAATTTTCTTATTCCTCTTTGTGGTCTTCTCTTTCCCACTTAAATAAGTCCCTTTAACATTTCTTGTAAGACTGGTTTCTTGGTGATAAACTTTTCTAATTTTTGCTTGTCTGGGAAACTTTTTCTCTCTCCTTCCATTCTGAATGATAACCTTGCTGGGCAGAGTATTCTTGGCTGTAGATTTTTTCCTTTCAGCACTTTAAATCTATCATGCCACTCTCTTCTAGCCTATAAGGTTTCTTCTGAGAAGTCAGCTGATAGCCTTATGGGGTTTCCTTTGTATGACACTTGTTGCCTTTCTCTTGCAGCTTTTATGATTCTCTCTTTAATTTTGGACATTTTAATGATAATATGCTTGGTGTGGGCCTCTTTGGTTTCTCTTGTTTAGTGCTCTCTGTGCTTCCTGTACCTGGATGTCTGTTTCCCTCCTTAGGTTAGGGAAGTTTTCAGCTATTATTTCTTCGAATAGATCCTCTGCCCCTTTGTCTCCCTCTTCTCCTTCTGGGACAACTATATTATGAATGTTAGTGCACTTTATGTTGTCCTAGAGGTCCCTGAGACTGTTCTCGTTCTTTTTAATTCTTTTTTCTTTTATCTCTTCAGCTTGGGTGATTTCCTCTAATCTTTCGTTCAGCTCACTGATTCATTCTTCTGTATTGTCTACTCTGCTACTGAGTCCCTCTAGTGATTTTTCAATTCCAGTATTGTGTTCTTCATTTCTGATTGGTTCTTTTTTATATTTTCCAATTCTTTGTTGAAGTTTTCACTGAATTCATCCATTCTTCTCCCAAGATTAGTGAGCATCCTTATAACCTTTGTTTGAACTCTTCATCAGGTAGGTTATTTTTGTTTTGTTTAGTTCTTTTTCTGGTGTTTTATTGTTCTCTTACTTGAAACGTATTCCTTTGCCTCTTTCTCTGTGCTTATTTCTGTGCATTAGGTAGGTCAGCTACGTCTCCTGATCTTTGAAAGGTGGCCTTATGTAAGAGATGCCTTATGAGGCCCAGCAGTATGCTTCCCTCTCATCACCAGTTCCAAATGTTCCAGGAGTGACCCCTGTGTGGGCTACACGTGTCCTTCTGTTGTGGCAGAGTTGTTCTTGCTGCAGGTGCCCAGGGAGGATAGGCTGTTCCCCTGGCCAAGTGGTTGTAATGCTCAGCTGTGTGTGGCTGCTATGGATGCTTCAGTCACTTTATTGGGCATGGGGAGCCCCAGCACAGTTGGCTGCAAGGTCTAATAGCACATTCCTGGTCCAGTTTTTCTGTTAAGTGAGTAGGCCCCCAGTGTGGCTGGTTGCTGGGCTCAGGGGCTTACAATTGCTGTAGGCCTCTGGCCTGCAAGGCCATTGTCAGCTCTCTCAAGATTGCAGCTGACTGGGGCTGGCCCCAGGCACGGGAAAACCCAATTTTTTCAGGCTTTGGAAGGTGGGGCCAAACCCCTGTGTAGCTGTTTGAGAAGCACAAGTCTGCTGCAGCTCACAAGCCCCACTGCCAACAGGGCCACACACACCATCAACAAAGTCCTGCCCCACATGCCTTCCTGGGCCCCCTGAAGTGGATCCAGGCACCCCATGGCAGAGGCCCCACACATTCCACCAATGCCCCGTACACTCCACCTGCTCCTTATGCATGCATGTTTTGCCCTGGAGAGGCAGACCCACTTGCCTGGCTGCAAAGGATCCAGGCACTCAGCCTATGCAGGCCCACAAGTTGCTTGAGAGCTTGCCATTGGGTAGGGCCAGATCCTAGCTCAGGCTGCCTCCCCTGGCTGAGATAGATTAAATCAGCTCTCTTGTGGGTAGGACAGACCCTGGTCTAACATGCCAGGGGAAGAACTCTAATGACATCTGCCAGCATCTGCATAAGCATGCCTATACTGGGTCACAATAATGGCTGCTGCCAATGTCTCAGTCCCTGAAGACGTCTCACCTCTCACTGAGATGCACCCAGAGCCTATCATGTGAATCTCTTCACCAAAGGACTGTGTACCTTTCTTTCTGGTGATTTTAGGGTTTTTCCTGAAATGGGTGAATTTGTGCATGGGCCCTTTAAGAGCAGGCTTTTTTCCCCTTATGCCCCATAGCTTTTCTAGGGTGTTTCCCATTGTTGTTAGTAGCCAGCAAAGTCAGATATTTTGACACTCGTCTCAGTTGTGCTGAGTCCAAAAGCTGCTTATAGTGGTAATGCTCCCCCACTCAGATCCCCTCTCATCCAGGGAAGGCTTCGTACCTTAGGATTGCTCCTGGCTGGCCATGAAGCACCGCAGTTTGTAAAGGTGGCTTTTTTCTCTCAGAAAGCAATTTCTGCCTCTTCCACCTCAGTCAGCACTGTCCCTTGTTGCGGGGGTTCTTTTTATCCAGTTTTCAGTTCTCTCTCAGGGGTAATTGTTCCAAGAGTAGTTGTAAATTTATTGTGTCCATGGGAGGAGGTGAGTTCAGAGTCCACCTATGCTGCCATCTTGACACCAACTCCTGTAATTATTTTAAATAAGAAGTTGAGATAAAACATATCAGGCATTCCTAACTGATTACTTTTTGAACTTGAACATTCTTTTCCTTGGTAGCATTTAATTATGTTTTAAAAACAAAACAAAATAGCATTTCATCTCACAGGATAATATACTTTATCTCATAAAGTCTCACATTATTTACAATAGAAGAGTCCTTTCAAAAACACTTTTGCAAGAACAGACAAGGTACTATGATGATGTTTTGAAAATACAGAATTTAGAGGCCAGCCCAGTGGTGCAGCAATTAAGTTTGCACATTCCACTTCAGTAGCCCAGGGTTCACCAGTTCGGATCCCGGGTGCAGACCTATGCACTGCTTATCAAGCCATGCTGTGGCAGGGGTCCCACATATAAAATAGAGGAAGATTGACACAGACGTTAGCTCAGGGCTAATCTTCCTCAAAAAAAAAATACAGAATTTACATTTTGTCACCAATTTGGCTTTAACATGATATGATTCACCAAGTTTTGTTCTCCAAAAAATATTTTAGAGAATACTGCCTGGCAGTAAAGGAGCTCTTCTGTGCAAAAGAATGGCTGGAGATGGAAGAAAAGACCCACAGAGGACTCTACAGATCTGGGATGCATCTGCTCTCAGTGCCAGAATGCAACAAGCTTCCCAGCATGCACTGGGACCCCATGGCCTGTACCAGACTGCCATATTTAGGTAACTGAGTTCTCTCGAGACTTTGGAGTTAAGAGACATTTACTGTTTTGAAGAAACTAAGGTGTGAACTTAAATCTCCTAATATTTCTAGGCATTTCTAATGTTTTTTTGAGTTCTGCCTTTCTTAGCTATCTAATAACAGAATCTTACTCTATCCTAATTTCAGAGGTAATCATAAGATTTTATTTCACTAGTCATATAATAAATTAAAGAGTATGTTTAACTGCTGCTTAAAATCTTACCGTATTTCATACAGGGGGTTTTATGAGAGCTTGTAACGTTTTCTGGAATGTGAAAAGAAATGGCTAGGAAACATCTCATATTTTGTCAGAGCAGTGGAATAAGGGAAAAAAGTCCTCTTTCTTAGCCAGTGAAGCAGACTTTTAAGCATGGAAAAATAAGCTACATGTTTGAAAATGCTGATCGTGCAAGACAAGGCTGAATCATTGCATGTTGCTTTAATGAATTTTGTTTGTAAGGAACTCTGTCGTTAGCCCTAACAGCTGGTTGAATTTCAAAGACGCAGTCCTTTCTCATTCGAATGCAAAGACTGTTTTCCAGTTGTATATTAAAAAACTGAAAGAGAACTTGCGTTTCTTAGTGCTCTCTCACAGATTATTTGCCATATCTGGATGCTCTTTTAAAACAAATTTTTATCCTTTCCCCTTCAGATTATAAAAAAGAAAACCTAACAAGTAAGTAATTTTTCTTATGCCCTTGAAACCTTACGTGTATGTAACTGGATTCATGCATGCGTATTTACACTCATGCTTCAGGATGTCCAGAACAGAATGTACAGCCGCTCTCAAAGGCTTTTCACAGTACTTACTCCGGGTGGATCATGAAGGAAGATCATTGAGGATCCCAGTTTACAGCTTCTAATTAGGCCATGGAGAGCACTATATTTAGTGAATGATACAAACAATATCTCCTACCCTAAGGTTATTAACCTGTCTTATCTCTTCCAGAGATATAAAATAAGCCAAATTAAAAGTGTCACCTTTTGATTTTGCATGCATGATTTTTGTATCATCGAATTATTTATATCTATATGATATTATTTATATCTAGATGAAAACAAATGTTTATTTCTTCAGTGAGCCAATTCAAGATGTTCATTTGTGACAAGAGGTCTTTCTTTTGGAAGATAGAAGTTTTTTTAAGACAGCTAGTTTCCAGTACAAAGTTTACAGGGTCAGATTAAATGGTTTTAAAAGAGTTGTCTCAAAATCCCTAGGAAAGAATTCAAGAAGGTTACTTGCAAAGGGATGTCCTGGAAACTAACTTTTATCAGATGATGCTTTAAACCTACCAGAATGCAGAAATCTTCAGAATGAAATTAGGAAAGTTTTTCATGCAAATTAACTTCCTCTGGTTTTCATGTTCTAAGGCTCAAATCATATCCATTTCCTGTGATATATATTCCAGGTTTAATGGCCTGTGCACTTGGTTAAGTGCCAGGCCTTGGTTTTACCAGCTTACTTAAAGGATTAAGACTTGGAGTTCTAAAAGAAGGAACTCTACTGGTCCCAAGTGACTCCCTCAGAGTTAGTAAACAAGAGCAGTTAGGGAAAACCCTAAAAAAGTATTATTCTGGAAGTCTGTCAAATTGTTATTCCCAAGTTGAAAGAGTGAAAAAGAAGTGTTTCAATTCTTTGTCATATAAGCAACCAAAGTTTCCTTTGGTTGGACTTCTAATTGAAGTCTGTGGTCTTTGCTATCCTTTGATTGTTCATTCATGGAGGGTTTGCTGTGTGAAAGCTGCTGACCTTCAATCCTAGATTAGATGGGAACAACGCACACAAAAAAGCATGCATATTTCTGTCCTGTACCTTGATTATAAGGATATAAGCATAAATTAACTGCAATAAACTAATTTCCTATTCTTAAAAAAAAGGTTTATGAAATCTTTTGTACATGTAAGCAAAATGAACTCCAAAGGATCATTTCATCTGAACATGTTGTGAGGAATGTGTAAAAATGTGCTCCCTGAGTTAAATGCAATTATTATTAAAGAAATTGGTTTTAGCTCTTCTGGTAGATCAACAGTTGAGTAAAGAAGCCATCCTTATTAGGCAGAATGTCTCATATTCTACAGAAGCATGTAAAGCCCTCAAACATTTCAAGAAGAGTTTCTTGATTTCTGAGTAAAGTCTAAAGATTAGTACCAGTTAGTTCACTTTAAAGAATGATGAAAGAGTTTTTAAAAAATCACTAGTTTATCTTTTACATTTTTCCTTTCTCACTTGAACAGACTAGAATTTCAGTAGTTTTCATTTTTATAACTCTTTTGTTGAAGTGAGATATCTTTTTGAGCATGTAATACCTTCGTATTTTTTACATTATTTGTCTACATTTCACTATTCCTGAATTCCTGAATTCTGTGGGACTGCACAATTTTATGTATTTCCTTAAATGAGTTCTTGGGTGAGAGAGTCTCTGAATCCTTGCATATCTTCAGAATAGCTTTCTTTTACCTGGATAGCTGGGATAGCTGAAAGCTATTTAGCGAGATATAGAATTCTTATGTGACATCTCTTTTCTCTCAGTGGTCTACAAATGTGATTTCATCCTTTCCTAGCTTCTAGTTTTAGAAATGAGTAGTCTGATATGAGTCTGGTTATTTTTTCCTATAAGTAATTTGTTCTTTCTGTCTAGAAAGAACTTTCAGATTGTCTCTTTTTTCCTTGTTATCTGCATCACGGAAATCCTTTGGAACGGTGTGTTACCGAACATCTCTTTCCAATTCCACATTCAGGACTTCATGTTGGTAGCTTGTCAGCCATCACAGAAGTCAGGCTGTAGCCAGGTGATCTTTCTCAAGCAAAAAGCTGATCATGCTACTCCACTGTTTAAAACCCTCTGATGATTCTCTCCATTTACTACAGGGCAAAGTCCAAATTACTTAATTTGTCTTGCAAGGCCTTTTATGACCTAGACCTGATATCTGCGGCTTACCTATAGACACTCCCCAACTCAACAGTGGAACTTCTAGGTGCACTTTTAGAAAAGCACTACAACTGCCTGGTTTGGGCCCTGACACATGCTGTTCCTTCTTTGTGGAATACTATCTCCCGCCCTGACTCCACCCCACTGCCTTCCCCCACTACAGCCTCCCACACACACTTATATGTTCAACTTCAACTACCTACTCACCCTTTACATTTAATTTAAAGATACTTGCTCTAGAAAGTCTACCCAGTACCCTTAGACCTGGAGTTGGGCTGAGGATGTTCTTAAGCATCCTGTTCTTGCCACTCTTGTAACACTTGTTACATTTTATTATAATTATCTGCTTACTAATTGTTTCCCAGTTATATGGTTTAACACAAAGATTTGTCATGTCCACCATAATATTCTTGATACCTAACAATCAATATTAATTTAGTGAATACGTTAATGTATGGATGAATGAGTGAATAATACTACCCTGATGTTCAAAGAACAAGGATAAAGAGATAAAATTGATGAGAATAAAAAGTTTAAAAGGAAAGAAACTGGAGCTTCAAATTGAAAACTTGAATCCAAAGAAATAACTGATGTCGCTGTGAGGAAGGCCAGAGAAAACAGATCAGAAACAATGATCAAGGAATAACAAGACAAAACTATGCTGAAAGGAAGAAATCATTAAATCCATAGAGCAAAATTATTGTTCAAACTATGCCAATTCTTGCATTTTGAAAATAAATGTTACTAAGTGACCGTGGATTATTCTTGTAATGTCATTAAATTCTATTTTCTGATATTTTTGAGAAAAATTACCCTTATATTTACTAATGAGATTACACTGCCAGTTTTAGAAATTACATTACGTTCTTTCACATGTTAAATATGGTATGAACTGCTCTGTAAAAGCCAGATACAAAAATAGTCACCTCTCCCAGTCTTTTAATGACGGCTCCTACTTTATTTTTCACCAGAGGTTTAGCTCCCCAGTTTAAGCCCCACTCTCCATCCATCTTGGATTGATTTTTTAAACTTTTGGATGACTCAATCCAAAGAAAGTCATATTGGCTTTCAAACCAATCAAAGAGGAACCTGGGCAGTCTGTTAAATTCACCATTGCTGTAATGCTTGGTAAGAAATGCTGTCATTGGTCCTTCACAGATCTTTTACTGCCGTGCTGATGTTCTCCCAGTCACAGCAGTGATGAAATTAAGCCTCCCCAGGCTTCAAAACCACTTGTTTAGCCATTGGTGTCAAGGGCGTAATCTCTGAGTCCACACCTGGACCAAGAAGTCATACATGGCACCTCCTGTAATCTCTGCTTTTACAAGGGTCCCATTTCAAATGCTTTAGGCATCTGCTGTAATAAATATTTTCTTTTGATTTCATGATGTATAATATTATTTCCTTATATTAAATCATTATTCTTTTACTGTATTGCAGTCGACTGTTAATATTTCATTTTGGAGCTTTTAAATCTACATTCTACAATCTATGCATGCACGTTTGTGCTGACATTGTCAGGTTGTGATATTAATATTATCATAACTTCCTAAAATAATTTGAAAGGTTTTACTCTTACTGGAACATATTATAAAATATGGAAATTTTATCTCTTCCAAGACTGAATGTATCCATAGTTCTATAAGGACGTTTAAATTTCCTGGTTGTGGCTATATTCAGATTTTCCTATGCTTCAAACTTGGTAATTAATATGTTCCTATCATTTTCCTTAAGATTTTAAAAATGTAATTGAATAATTATATATTATTTCAATTTTATGGACCTTTGAATCTATCGTCATAATTCCTTTATCTTCTTAATTTTGTATGTTTGTGCCTTTCTTATCTTTTTAAAATTAAAATTCCACTGATTAGGCTACCTTATAAATACGAATAAGACCCACTATTGACCTATTTTTTAAGTCTATAGTTTGTAGTATGTGGATTCTAACATGTTAACTTCTGCTTGTACATGGCTGTTACTTTATCACCTATTTTCCTTTGTATTCTGAGTTTTTGTTTCTTTTCCAAAGTCTTGATTTAAATGTTTAGTTCATTCATTTTCATTCATTCTATCTAATGGAAAGAGAGAAACTTACGAGTTTATCATTGAGCACAGCTTTGGCCAAATCTCATACACACTATTAGGAAGTTATTGTCTAATCTGTCTCAACGGCTACTTTTTACTCTTTGATTGAAAAGTTATTGAATTTTTTCTTTTGTTAGATGTCCTATTGGATTTTATTTAATCTATTGTGAATTGCATTTTGGTCAAAGAATAGATCTACATAATTTTTTCTTTTGAAATTTATTGAGATTTACCTTTGTGGCCTGACAAAAGATCATGTCTGTCAGTGTTCTGCAAATATTTTAAAATAAGGGTTATTCTCTCTTTTTAGGGAACAAAGTTGATTCTTCACTATTAAAACATTCTTGTCGATTATATTATTAAAATCCTCTGTATCCATGTTTTTTGTCTTTACTTAATCAACAAAAGGGTTTAAAATATAATTAATAAGGTTATTTTAATAGATATACAATGGGCTTTGCACCATACAAAGTGATGTGAGTATGATATCTTGTAATTTGCATCAATAATGCAGATTTTATGTTGTTTTATATCACATTGACCTTTCAAACAGGAGTTTGATAGAAGTTCAATTGTTAGATGAGCTAACTTTGCTCATTTCTGTCCTCATATTTTCATTCTTCGTCTTCTTCCATTCTTTTTATTCTGTTTGTAAATCAACAGTAAATATGTATTTTTATTTAGACAATCCTGACCTCAAGTATAATTTCATAAAAATATTTTATTTAAGAACTTAATAATTCCATGATTGTTGTCAGGTCATAAACAATATGCGATGTAGTGTAAAGAGCACTAGCTCAGCATCTGCATTTGTCTTGGAAAAAATATTTCCTTTCTCTGAGTCCCATCTTTAAAATTCTGTGATTCTATAAACTGGATTTGCTTACAACTGGACCTCACTGGATTCTTACAATTGGACTTTATAGATAGATAACCAGGAAGAACCTGATACATAAAACCATAGTCTTAAAATTAAATTCAGTTTACTGATTGCTTGAATACAAAAATTGCTTCTTAAAAGTTTAAGAATTGGGGGCCAGCCTACTGATGTAGTGGTTAAGTTTACCCGCTACACTTTGGCAGCCTGGGGTTTGGGGGTTCAGATCCCAGGCACAGACCTACAACACCGCTCATCAAGCAATGCTGAGGTGGCGTTTCACATACAAAATAGAGGAAGATTGGCATGGATGTTAGCTCAGGGCCAATCTTTCTCACCAAAAGAAAAATGTTTAAGAATGAATGAAAAGAATTATTGTTTACTTACAGCATTCCCGCCCATGCCGTCCTCAAAGCCGAGTGTGGACATTCCAGATTTGCCTTCCTCCTCCTCTTCCTCCTTCGCTGTCTCACCTACATACTCCATGACTGTAATAATTTCCATCATGTCCAGCTTTGCGATATTTGTGCTTCTTACCATAACTACTCTTTACTGCTGCCGAAGACGAAAACAATGGAAAAATAAGAAAAGGTGAGATTCTGACTTAAGCTAATCACATGTAGTAATATTTTAAAATCTACATATTTTATACTGGAATTGATGATGGGAGGAGGAATATTGATAACACTGCCAGTCTCTTTTTGACATCCATTGCCTTGCTTTAAAATTAAGTACCCCCACCACAATCTTTGAAAATATCAATAACTTTTTGCATAGGATCACATCTCCTAAAGCTGATTTTTCACAGCAGATAGAATCTAAACAATCGTTTGGAAGAATATGGCTATTCCTGCTCCCCATCTTCCCTCTCAGCCCCATTGCCACTGCTAGATTGGGTAGTGACAAAATTCCTGAGAAAATGTGCCTTTTGACTCCAGATCAAACAAAATACTTCTTACTCTAGAACCGAAGAATCTTTGTCCACCTTAGTATAATTTGTTTTGTTTCCTCCTTAATGTCATATCTCTTTAGAACCTAAGTCTGAGTACAAAGCTCTCACCTGGTCCTGAGCTCATTGTTGGTCTTACCTGTCTTATCTGCAGAGAATCAGCAGCAGTAACCCTCACTACTCTTCCTTCTGAGCTCTTGCTAGACAGACTTCATCCCAACCCCATGTACCAGAGGATGCCACTCCTTCTGAATCCCAAATTGCTCAGTCTGGAGTATCCAAGGAATAACATTGAATATGTGAGAGATATCGGAGAGGGAGCATTCGGGAGGGTCTTTCAAGCAAGGTAAAGTTACCAATGTAAAAATCTCTCCAGTGAAATATGCTGCATCTGAAAAGCTACCAGACCATTATCTGCTGTCTATACGGCGTGTATAATAGTTATTAACAAATTAGCTCGGTCTTCACATCGTTGACCTTATTTGTATTGAATACTATACTTTGAATCTTAATTTTCCCTCTGTGCTGGAAAATAGGGTAGTGTGTATATGGAGAGAATCTTCATTCATGTAGCATTCAAATTACAAGCAATTAGCAAATTTTAATGTTTCCTTTTCAGAAAATAATTTTCTCATATGTTTTCAATCATAATTTCTTGCAGTTTTTAGTAAATAATTCTGAAATTTACTTCTCTTCCATTTTCTCTTGCTACATTCTCCACTTCATTTGAAGTTTACTTCAAACTAGTGTTTCCGTTTAAGAATTCAGAGCCTGACATGTGTAGGTATTAAATAGATGTTCATGGGATGGCAGAACAGAAAAGGGAAAAAATAATACAAAAATGTCAGAAAACAATGAACTCCAGAAATGAGTATGCATGAAGGCCAACACTAGCCCATTTAATGTCTTTGTGTGTATTGGAATAAAATACCCTCTCTGCGCGGATGTAGCTCATGGACACACAGCTGAACCAGAGAATACGGATTTGGTTTTAATCACCAGTTATGACTTCGCCCTGGTGCTCTTGGGCAGGACACAACCTTACCTCCACTCATAGTGGCCCTGGTATGGAGGTTACATGATTAATGAAAATCTCACACAAATCCTTATTGGGAACCAAAAATATGCAAGGCACCATTTTAGGCCCTTTGGGGATATAAAAGGAATAAATCATGGTTCCTGCCTTCCAGGAATTTAGATTCTGGCCAGTGATATAGGGGTTAGCATGGTGATGATAATCTCATTGGATCTGCGCACTTTAGAATTCCTGTAATTTATGAATAATGCATTTTTCAAACTTAATCTATGTTGAAAATAGTCCTTGCAAGTTTATTAATTGGAGTCAAGGAGTTTTAAGTACAATCTACTCTTGGCATCTTTATTTGATTCTGTGGCTCTGGGAAAGGCTGCATAAGCTGGGGGATGTGTATGAATGTGGGTGGATACAAAGTAAGTATGTATAATGTTCCTGTTCTTTGATTTCTTTCTAAATAAATGTAACTCTCAGGGCTCCAGGCTTACTTCCCTATGAACCTTTCACCATGGTGGCAGTGAAGATGCTCAAGGAGGAAGCCTCAGCAGACATGCAGGCCGACTTCCAGAGGGAGGCAGCCCTCATGGCAGAATTTGATAACCCGAACATTGTGAAACTCTTAGGTAGGGAAATATAAATAAATGAACTTATTGTATCCAAAAAGAGAGGCTTTCCGAGTTTGTCTCCTTCATACTTAAGCTTTTTCCTTTACTCTTTGACCAAAGAGATGTCTCTGCTCCTTTCCATATAATATTTTCTGTACCAGGGAGTGAAACATTTCATTAAATAACCTCAGTTCAAAAAATTGGTTTTTTAAATTGCTTAGAGAAATGTATTGTAATTTCTTTAACTTTCTCTCTAGCATATATAAATAAGAATGATGGCTAAAGTCCCTGCAATTAAAAACTGACCCCAGAACAAATAAGCCAGGATAATGCTATTCTTTATTTCTCTTTCTTTTTTGGACAGAGACTTCTAATTTTTGCCTGAAAAAGAAATAGATCCAATAATCTATTTTTACAGTGACGTGAAATTGTGCTCAATTGATCCAACCCTCCAAGATGTCCAGGTTCTGTCTCAAATATAGCAAGAATTTAAGATTTTCAAATGTCCTCTAGGCACTAAATCTAAGAGTCTATTTATATTAGCATATTTTCCTTTCTGGAATGAATATTGTAAAACCTAAATTTCAGAATGTTTTATCACAGCAAGCTGAAGACTGCATCTAAGATCTTGGATTGTTTTTGTTATCCTTTCCAAATTTCACATGACAGCCTCCTTATTATCCTTCTCCAGAGAAGCAGCAGAAACACAGAGGAATTACGTTATAGGCTCAAAGCAAACAGCATTCATAAGTTCGTTCACCAAACACTTACTGAGCACTCGCTCTGCCAGACATGTGGTAGGTGTGCAGAATTTAAACGAGAATCAGACGTGATTGCTACTTTCAAAGTGCTAAAATGTTGGGGGAGAAACCTCCAATAAATGGGTGATTATAGCAGGATGCAGGAGCTTTGTTAAAGGCTGATGGAAAATCTGTTACTGGAAGGGTCGGGAGCCATAAATAAGGAAGAGTGATAAATAAGCTGCATCTTACCAGGTAAATAGGAGATGTTGATACAAAGAAACATGGTCAGGGTTCTGCTATAATGCTGTCAACAAAAAAACAGGGCCCCATATTTTCTGATCTGTGCATTAGCCTTTTGGATGTTCTTTCCAGTGTGTCACTTTACAAACCCAACCTCACAAAGAACGTTATTTTGTTTCCAGGCGTGTGTGCTGTCGGGAAGCCGATGTGCCTGCTCTTTGAATACATGGCCTACGGGGACCTCAACGAGTTCCTCCGCAGCATGTCTCCTCATAGCGTGTGCAGCCTCAGCCACAGCGACCTGTCCACGAGGGCTCAGGTCTCCAGCCCTGGACCCCCGCCCCTCTCCTGTGCCGAGCAGCTCTGCATCGCCAGGCAGGTGGCAGCTGGCATGGCTTACCTCTCAGAGCGCAAGTTTGTCCACCGGGATTTAGCCACCAGGAACTGCCTGGTGGGTGAGAACATGGTGGTGAAAATTGCTGACTTTGGCCTCTCTAGAAACATCTACTCAGCTGACTACTACAAAGCTAATGAAAACGATGCTATCCCCATCCGTTGGATGCCACCTGAATCCATTTTCTATAACCGCTACACCACAGAGTCTGATGTGTGGGCCTACGGGGTGGTCCTGTGGGAGATCTTCTCCTACGGCCTGCAGCCCTACTATGGGATGGCCCATGAGGAGGTCATTTACTATGTGCGAGATGGCAACATCCTCTCCTGCCCTGAGAATTGCCCCCTGGAGCTGTATAATCTAATGCGGCTGTGTTGGAGCAAGCTACCTGCAGACAGACCCAGTTTCACCAGTATTCACCGAATTCTGGAACGCATGTGTGAGAGGGCAGAGGGAACTGTGAGTGTCTAGGGTCAAAGATGTGCCAATAGACTCTCTGAGCCAGAGGAATCCAATGCCACAGGCCCAAGAAGACACAGATAGGAAAGACTAATAGTAGACACGAGTAGCATGTTGTTTGTTTCTTGAGAGAAACAAAGACAGTGCAGACCTCATATAGTAGACCAATCTATTGAAAGTTGATGATTGCGAATGCAGGCTAGGAATTGTGTCAGATAACCAGAGATAACTATTCCTCGCGGGGAAAGTTTGTATTACATATTGTACAGGAAAGAATGTCATCCTGTTCAGTTCCAGAATTAGCTGGCAGTGGAGTAAGACTCTGCTGTATGAAATTTTAATATGAAATATAATTCGGAGCTTCATTTTCAGTAGAGTTAATTCCTGTCCATTATGAAAGTAGTATATCTTCCTGTAAGAAATTTAGGTAAAGTTCAGAAAACTAGAAAGAAGGAAAAAACCATTCATTCTCCCCACCCAAAGATGGGTGTTAGTTTCTTATTGAATTTCTTTCTTGCATTAAATGCATACTTTTCTATTTGTTTGTATGCTACAGAGTTGTGGTTTACTTTATTGATAGAGGGTGCCTAAGGAATAAAATGACAAATCTGCAAGGCTCTATTCTTAGTGTGATTTTTAGTTCCCTTTTCTGTCGCTGACTCCTTCTCTAGGAGTGTTTCCTTTGTGTGCACTTGTCAAGAATTTAATCTGCTTATTTTATTCCCATAGTTTTTTCTGAAAAAGAGTTTTTGTGTCTTATTAATTTTCCTCTTCCTTTGAAAATTTTATTGGTACCTTTTTATTTGCTTTAATCTTTATTTCTTCTTCTTTCCAGGACTTCCTATCTTTTTTCAGTTATTTGGCTATTTTTTTTCCTTTTATTTCATACATACAGTAAACACCCTGGAAGAAATAATAACATTCTAAATAACCTTGTGGACTAGTATGTATATGCCTTTACAAAGTATTACTATTTTTTTCTGTACCTGCTTTTGAGGCCACACATTTCAAATTTGTCATCTCTAATTTAATTGCCACAGTCTATTAAATCTCTGAAACCATGGTTTATACCATTGGATTTCACAAGATGCTCTTGTGGCTCTGAGTTATTTCAAACCTGATGTTTGATGTTTGTGCGCGTTCTGATATTTTTTCCTTCTAGAAACCAATTCGATAGGCAGTAGGATTAACATAGTGTTGCTTACCAACTTTCTGCACGACTATTAAACTATCTTGTTACATCTTTTGATTCTTAAAAAATAAAATCCCTCTGGAACTCAGATTCCTGGTACACAAGATTTCTCAGTGGAGCCCCACACAATATATCTTTATCTAAGGCCAACATCAATGATAGGAGTCTATTCCTGATAAAGGATGGACCCAGAGTCTCCTGAAAAGCAAATAAACAGGGAAGAGAAAATAGCAGTCTACTCGATACCAGCTTACTTTAATTCAAACTAATTGGTAGTTAGGGCAATGGAGAAATGGTCTGAATTCTTGAGTAGATTTTCAACGGTCTGCTGGAAGGCTCCACCTGAATTCTCCAAATCCACCTGCATGCAACAACTTGTCATCTTTGCTGGAAAAGCTGCCGTTTCTTGTTCACAGTCCCTCCAGGCAACCAAGACAAAAACATAGAAATTACCCTGGACTTTGCCTTCGCCTTCACCCCTGACATTCTATCAGTCTTGCTTTCTGAAATGCTCCTGCTCTCTTTCCCTCCCCTTCAATCTGCCTGCCCATTATTCACGCGCTAACACTACCTAATTATCTGTTATCTACCCTCCCCACACTTATCAGGCCAGAGCAGATTCCACAATGTAAGAATGTGCTCATTCACAGTTCTGATTCATAAATAGAGAAGTAGAACTTTAGGATTGAGACCTAACAAAGTGCTTTGAAGTCCTGGTTGTAAGTCCAAAATTGAGACGGTCATCCAAAGGGCTAGATGAAGGAAAAAGCTTGAAGCATGAGTCCCAAACAGAAGGCCAAGAGGCCAACAAGGCAGAAAAATTGGAGAGGACCACCAACAAGTCTAGAACTTTCATGCAGATATCCATGGCATACTTCAAATGGTTCACATACGTGGGTCACATATGCTCTGCCAACTTCAAAGATGTCCTCAGGTTTCCTCAGCTGATAGAGTTTATGGATAAAAGCAAGCCATGGAAGTCAGGCCAACTGGAAAAGCTACCCCACAGGAAAGCAGGATAGAGACAGTTACTTGGAGAACCCACCATGTGGCTTGTACTGCAGGTACCGTGTTGTCCCTCAGAACCAGGTTTCCATCGCGCCAGTTCTGTTGCCCGCCGCTTTGAGCTGGTCTCTGTCTCCCTCCCCACAGCTGAATAACTGCCCTTACTTCCCTGTCTCTCCCGCGCGGCTTCTACAGCCTCATGGATGCTCAGTCTGTGTATTTTTTTTAGGCTTTGCTATTCAAGATCCCAAAGGAAAAATAATCATAGAGATATAGGTAAATATAGTGAGTGAGTGAGCAAGTAAATATTATGGAAACCATTCAATTTCATTAAATATTTAAAGTAACTGAAAACTAAAATAAGTAGAACTCCCATTATAGTAATGGTAGTATAAAAATAATACTATCAGCTAGCATTCGTTGAAGGCTTACTGTGTATATTCTAAGGCCTCTAAAGATATTACATTAAACCACTCAACATAGCTGTGATGTCAGTACTATCATTATGCCCACTTTTTAGGTGAGGAAACAGGCACAGAGAGATTGTGTAACTGGCCCAAACACACACAGCAACAGAGTCTCGTTTATGACCTGAAGAGGCTTGGCTCTCAACCACAATAACATGTGCTTCAGTTCATCAGCGAGCAAATAACTGACCTTTGAAGACTGTGTGGAGGTGATTTGCAATTTGCATGCAGTTTCAAAGCACCCACTATACCCCTTTACTACTAATTCCTTCCCAAGTCTTTTTATTGAATAGCAAAAAAGTCTATTTTAGCGTTGTCAGTTTCATCAAAAACTCAACGAGGTGGCAGGTTTAAGTTATTCATTAGCTCTAAGTGCACTTTTAAATTTATGTCACGATCACAATCTTATTTTCTCAGTGCTCACCCCAAGGTTCTGGAGCTCAGGAACACGGACTGTTATTTACCAGTATTGTCTTCTTTTTTAAATAAAGATTGTTTTCCCACTGTAGAATCATTGTACAAATTCAAAGCAGGAGACAAGAGAGACACTTATAGTGCCATTGTTACTAACTGTCAGGACAGGCGTCCGTGAGGCACCAAGTCATTTAAATGGTCACATATCAAACATGATAAGAGGAACAGAGTATAGCACATGGTGTCAAAAAACCCACTCCCTGGTATTGCAATAGAGCAGGAAAAGAACACTTCTTTCCACTTTGTAGTATATCATGAACCTGTTCCATGTCACTAAATATTCTTCTGAAAGTCCAATTTGATTTCTGAAAGATATTCCATTGTATGGATGTATCATCATTTAGTCTCGTATTTTTTAACACGAGTTTTTTCTAATTTTCACTATTACAAACAATACTGTAATAGTCATCCTTACATCACATGTCCATAATTATCTCTTTATGGAAATTCTGAGTAGGGAATGTCTGGGCCAAATGGCATGCAGAACATTAAGGCTTTTATTATGTATTGTCACATTCTCTAGAAATAGTTCCCATCTCTGCATTGTACAAGAGATCCCATAGCCCTACACATTTGCTGTCGTAGAGAATTAATTCTCTATTTTTTAGAAGCCTTTTGTCTATTTGGTTATAGAAAAAGATTATCTCATTTTGATTTTATTTTTTAAATTACTAGTGAGGTTGAATTTTTCTTGTTCCTAGGTCATTTATTGTTTGTATTTGGGGAATCATCTATAGTCTATTTTTTTATTGTGTTGTTCATTTTCTAATTGATTTGTAAGAGTCATTTTATAAAAATAAGATTAAACTTTTATCATACTTTACACAAAAGAGAAAATATATACATAGTTTTACTTTAAAATAACATTTACTTTTTATTGCAAAAGCAATACTTGTTTATTTTTTGAAAAGAAAAAATAATAAGCAATAACGTATGATGTACAATGATAAAGAAAATGAAAACACCAACCAGTAGTAACTAGCATTAACATCATGATAAATATTCTCCTAGTCTTTTTCAAGTAGGTAGGTATGTAAATAGATAGATGATAATCATTTTAAATGAAAACAAGATCATACTGTTATACTGTTTCAATCTCTGTCTTTATCACAAGATGTACAATAAGCATCTTCCATATCAACAAGTATTCATGTGCAGCATCACTTTTGATGGTAGAATAATATTCTATTATACAGACTTATTATAATTTATTTAATTATTAATCTATTGTTGGACATTTGGTTTATGTCTATTTTTTCTTATAAAATACAGTATTTTCATAATTAATCCTGTTGCTAAATTTTGTGAGCGTCTATCTTAAGTGATTTCTTTAGCTATAATTACTAGAAATGGAATTTGTAGATCAAGGGGTAGATACACTTCTAATGCTTTTTAATATATTGACAAATTACCTTCCTGAATTATTTTATTAACATATACATCTTCCAGCCAGACAGGAGAGTCCATTTCTTTCAACCTCACCAATACTAAGTATTAGCATTTTAATAATTGCCAATAAACAGCTTAAAATTTTTATTTTGTAGCCTATGCTTACATTTCTTTAAATAAGATAAAGTTGAACATTTTTTCAATGTTTTGCCGACAATTGATTTACTCTGTGATTTACCTCCTACTGTTATTTTTCTATTGGATGTATCTTCTTGTTGCTTTGTAAAAGCACTTTATATATTAAGGAGTTAAATTTTGTCATACATGTTCCAAACACTTTAATCACGTTAAAAACGTATACTTCTATTTGTCTTTTACTATAAGATTTTATTAATCAGGAAAGAATGTTGAATTTTCAGTCTATTGAGATGATTGTGGCTTTTTCCTTAATTAATCTGTTAATATGTAGATGTACGAACTGATTTCCTAATGTCGAAATATTCTTATGTTCTGGGAATAAACTCTCTTTGGGTGTGTCGTATCAATCTTTTAATTTACTACCAAATCTGTTTTATTAACATTTATTTGCATCAGTATTTATAAGTTAATGAAATTAAAAGTTTGTCAGTTTTTTCTCTGTTACAGTTTGGTATCAGCATTATGATAGTTTCATAAACATAGGAGTTTCCCTATGATCTTGGTTAGTTTATTTTTAAATAATTGTAGTTTATTTATAAAAGCAATACCTACATGTTTTTTAAAAAACTCCTAAGTAGGGTACAAATTTAAAAACAAAAATTCCCCATCTCCTATTTATTTCTAGTCCTAGCCTTAAGTGAAAACCACTTTAACCATTTCTGGTTTCAGTTCTTCTGGTGATTACCACTGCAACTCTAAAAATATGCTCACATCTCTTTCTGAATTGATCAGTTTAAAAGGTATGTACTATCTCCCTTCGTAAAGATGGGCAGTTTAGAACACCTTTACTCAAACCTCCTCTTGAATTCCTGAGATATAACTTTTTATTGTCAGTTCTATTGTTTATCATCATAACTTTTAAAAATGTACTTGAACAAAAGTTACCTGTCGATGCTGGACTATGTAAGATACAATAAGAGCTCCCACACTTCCTCCCACCACTTTTTCCCTTCCCTTATGCTCTGTCAGTCAGACACCTATTTCTGTGCTGTCAGGATCTGTAACATTTGCATTTTGTTCTGCAACCAATTAAAATTTGGGTGTTGATGTTGGTTGGTTCTAATTATGAAAAAAGAAGCAAAATGTCTATAATAATGTGATTATGTAAATATGGACGCATTGCCAAACAAATAATGGTATCCAATTATTTTAATTTGATAACATATTTTAAGGTCCATTAATTCTTATTTCCTCTATTTTATGGATGAAGTATCATTTAAGATATCACCGAATTTCTACGTTCTCTTCTGTTCCATCATTATTTTTTTCTTCCTCTTTCTTCTGCCTCTCCTCTTTCGTGCTTTTGTTTTCCATAAATGTCTGGTGATCACTGATTTACCATATACAATTACAAATGTAAAGTTTTTCTTATTCATGTTGGTAGCAGGAGTGGGGTTCCTTTGCAATTTTGTTGGAATGTTTATGCAGAAGCCTCTCTCTTCAAAGGGATGGCTACTTGTGAGCTGTGCATATCTGGTTCATACGCTTCATGGGGAGGGTATAGGCAGGCTGAGTTAGAGCCTCCTAAATTGTTGAAGTGATGAAGGACTCCACTCTGAGGATATAATACTTCGGTATATTTCGCTCCTGGAGAGCTGTTATTCCTCCATCCTTCCATCCTCTGTGAGACTGTAACATTTTCCCCATGTTCTATTCTGCCTCTCTTTCCAGATTCAACGCTCACACCAAGGCACCTTCCCAGGAAATCTTCCAATCTACTCACAGAGCATTTTGTGGGGCTTCAGCCGATGGTGAAGCCTCTCATTGACCACCCTGATTGACAGCCCACAGCCATCCCTGCTCTCTGTATCTGCTGACTCAGAGCCCAGAGTCTTTACTCATGTGAAATCACTTCCCACATCCCTGACAGCTGGCTCCTGTGTACCGCAGGCTGCAGTTTACGTTTCCTGTACCCTGTATTATTCACAAATAAGAACACTAGGATACTTTCTGCTTTCCAAATATTTGTCAGAGTAATGGCACTTAGATGGGTTTCGGCATGTATCTAGATTTATTCTTACTCATATACATTTACTGTCACATCAGTGAAATCTTGGGAGGAAAGGAAAGTGTTCAGCCTATCATTTTGATCAAGAAGCTTTTCTGGAATAGTTGGAACAGCCAAGGAAATATCTGCTGACTCCTCCTTAATCCTCTGTGTTGCTTCTTTCTTTCCTCTTATTTCTCCCAGCCTCTTAATGTTAGAACATGCCACAGCTCAACCCTTGGGCAGCATCTCTCTCTTATGTATACTCTCCCTTAGTCATCTCCTCTAGTTGTACAGCTATAAATACCACCTACAGCAGAACCCCCTCATCCATGGGGCATACATTCCAAGACCCTGAGTGGATGCCTGAAATCGTGGATATGCTATGTTCCTATACATATATACCTATGATGAAGTTTAATTTATAAATTAGGTACATTAAGAAATTAACAACAATAACTAATAATAAAGTAGAACAATTTAATAATGTACTGTAATAAAAGTTATGTGAATGTGGTCTCTCTTTCTCACTCTCTCAAAAAATCTTACTGTACTGTGCTCACCCTTCATCTTGTGATGATGTGAGATGATAAAATGCCTAGGGCGATGAGATGAAGTGAGATGAATGACGTAGGCATTGTGAATAGAGTTAGCTACTAGTGACCTTCTGATAATAGATCAGAAGGAGGATTATATGCTCCTGGAGCACGGCTGATGGCGGCCAACTGAAATCATGACAGTGAAACTGCGGATAAGGGGAGACTATTGTATATGCTGAAATTTTTATCTTTAGCTCAAACCTCTCTCTCCAACTTCATACTCATATTTCTAACAACATTTTATAGATGAGAGCAAATTCTCCTCCCCAGAGCCAGGCTCTCTGCTCTAAGTCAACACTCGATCTAGGAGCAAAGCTGGAAACTGCTTCCCACCTTGGTGTTGCTCTGAGGGAGAGTCTCAGAACCCCTCCAATATGAGTGCATGCTTAGTGTCCTGGTGCTGCTGACTTAGGTACTTATTCTCAAGAGGGCAGACTGTGCCCACTACAATAGTTTCTAATACCCTCACCCTTTTGTTACAGCTGGCAGAAATTCACCAGTTTTTTGCAAGTTCCTGTTATCCAGTCCCGATTTGCAGTACCGATGTGGATGTTTCCTTTTTGACGTGGTCTATGTGTCACTCTATGACAATTTGGGAGGGGATAGCTTGATGCTGTGCTCATTTCACCACTTTAACCAAAGACTTCCTTGTTGTGGGGAGGATGTTGTCCTGTCCTCATGGATTCAAATCTTTACAGCAAACCTATTTCAGCTCACCAGTGTTTCACTTGTTTCAGGTCTTTTTAAGTAGCACAGTCGTCAAGATCCACACACTTATAAATCTTTACTTTGGTATAGATCACCATAAAATCAATAGCCCCACTCACTCAGTGGGTTTCAGGACTGTGAGTCATTACAATTATGGAAGGGTCAGAAATTACATCAGTAGGAAGGACTCATAGGCTTGAGGGTCTCGTTAAGAAACAACAGTCTGTGCCAGTGCATTTCTTATAATTATAAAAAAAGATATATATGTGTGTAGATGTTTGCCTTGCCTTCTAAAAGATCATGTCATCTGAGTATAAAGCAAAATAAGGGTAAAGGAAAATAATTACCTGACTTCTAAACCTTTACTTGTCTTCCTTACTGAATCCCTCTTAATTAAAAACTTCTGGGGCCAGCCCAGTGGCGTAGTGGTTAGGTTAGGACACTCCACTTCAGCTGCCCAGGGTTTGTGGGTTCAGATCCCGGGGGCAGACCTACACACTGCTCATCAAGCCATGCTTTGGCGGTGTCCTGCATACAAAATAGAGGAAGATTGGCACAGATGTTAGCTCAGTGACAGTCTTCCTCAGGCATAAAAGAGGAAAATTGGCAACATAAATTTCAAAGAGATTCAGAAGGGATATTTTTTCTTATAAACTTCGTCATCATACTTGTAATTACACAAGGATCCATCATTACTCTCCTTTCAAACCACAGCCTCTGGAAAGTACATGCCATATTTAGAATTTCACCCCTAAGAAGAAAAACCACCTGTGCTATCTAAAGTTATCTAAAGAGAGATGTTAACCACAAAAAACACCAGACTCAGACACTCTCATT